GCTTTTTGCTGGAGTAACAATTTGTTTTTTAACCATCTAGGTGAAAAAATGGACACCATGGAATGCACAACACAAACTGTTTCCGAAACGTTAATCGGATTTGTAGAACATGATCAGGGTCAAATTGGAAAATATGCTGACACGATGAAAGGTTTGCATTTATTAAATATGTGTATGATATACCGTAATTGCTACTCAAAAGATTTTTTCGAACGAAGTACATCTGAGAACGGTTTGGCTTCCTGTTACATTTATAGGGAATATCTAAATAGGATTTTAATAGATAATTTTAAAAATACAAACTGAAATCAGGGAATCTTAATGGCACTTCTAAATTTAATATACTTATATAAAGGATTACACGTCCAAAATATTTAATAATGTAAAGGATTGTTGGAAACAAAAATTCTAGTTAAAATTCTTGGATATTTGAGATATGTGCATTTCCTCCTAATTAACATTTTACTCTGTTTTTAATTTTTTCATACGTTCTTGTAAAAAGCTTATTTTACATAGAATTTACCAAGCTCTAAATAGTATCAGTTTCGTACAAAATAACGGGACTAACACAAATACATAAGTTTAAGGTACACTATCAGAAGCACAAGAGTTGAATTATTATAAAAACATATCTTTCAGTGTTTCTTAATCTAAAAGTCAAATGCTGTTTAAAACTGCGAAATAACATATGCAAGTAAAAGCAGTTTTACCCTGCACGATTATCTTTTTAAAATACCTCTTACATTTCCGATTTATAAATTTGATCGCCTTCATTTATCAAATTAGATATTACCCAAGTTTTGCTGAGCACCATAAGTTAATTTAATATCATCAGAAGTATAAAACAGATTTCTTTCCAATTTAAAAAGAAAATCTGATTCAGCAATGTTTTGAGATAGTCCCCTGACATGAATCCATGTTAACTAATTGTCTAGATAGCATGGAAAGCATGCACCCCAATATTTTCATGTTTCTGATTGGGAATCAATCACATGTCTGTTGTTAAACGGCGACATTACCGGCTTATTGTCATTCAGTGGCTTACATTTCTTACATCCGTCACTTTGATGTGGTGAATGATATATTACGCAGCCTTTGAGAGAAGCAGAGTTATCGAGGGCTGAAGGGGATGCTGCAGCAGGGGAGGGGCTTGTTTCCATGCAGACGGTACGTAGAAGGCTGAATGAATGCAATTTGCGGTCGAGAAGACTATGCATACGTATCCCCTTGACGCATCGACATCGCTAGGCCCGTTTTAAATGGACCATGGAGCATACACGATGAACCATACAACACTGGAGACACGTTATATTCACTGATGAGTCCAGGTTCTGCCTAGACAAAACAGACAGGCGTGATAGACTCTGGAGAAGACAATGTGAACGGTTACAGACTGCAAATATTGCTGAGCATGACCGCTACGGAGGTGGGTCAGTTATGGTATTGGAAGACATCAGCTGGAATTGACGAACCGACCTGGTTGTGCTTAATAGAGGCACATTGACCGTCTATTGTGCTAAATAGAGGCACATTAACCAGGTTAGGTTGTATACTGGAGCAAGTGGCGATCAGTTCATTCTAGTGGACAATAATGCTCGCCACAATAGGGACAGGGTTGTCAAAAAATACCTAGAGAGGGAGTTTATTGAGCGCATGGACTGGCCAGCCCGCTCACCTGACTTAAATTCAATAGAAAACATGTGGAATAAGCTGCAGGTTAGAATTTCAGCTCGTCAGCTGCAATCCAGAACTATCCAGGAGCTTGGAGCCATGTTTTGCCATACCCTTTAGAATGATTAGAAACCTAATACGGAGTATGGGAAGGTGCTGCCAAGTTGTCATTAATAGTCCCGGGTCACACACACGGTATTAAGTCTAAATCTGTAAAAAAACAAAACAATTTAACAAATTTGGAAAAACATGCTGCATATTCCGAAATTTTCAAATTGGGGTGGGGGCGTTCTTTTCTCTAGCATAAAATCCGTATAAAACTCATTTATAGGGTTAAATTCGTCCTTCAGTAAAATTGATAAAACAGTTAATCAACATTTAAAATCTTTCGCACGGCGTTTATAAAATTATCGGAAAAAATATTCGCACTCAAACACATGGTGCTTAGAAAACGTTGAGTAGTTTATCTGTTTAGTTGAAGGACGTGAAACTTAAACAAACCGTTATATTCGAAGGTTTTATATTATTGATAATACTAATAAGATATTCTTTTATATATCATTTTCTTGGTGACTGACTGCGAGGCGTGTATATAGTCAGAACTGCATCAGTACTCAGGGTGTAGTACTTTAGTACCAGTACCAATACTTGCCAAGTTATGTCGTACCATTACCAGTCCCAGTTCTAGATTTTAGCTTGGTACTGCAGTACCAGTACTTTTTTACGAAGTAATTAAGTATCAATACAAGTACTTTTATATATTCATCAAAGTTTGAACAAATACACACTGTCAAACAAAAATAACATATTATGTATATTTACATATTTTAATGATACATGTTTTAAACAAGTATTTCCATTTCACATGTGTACACATCAAATTAAAAAAGTGCAAACATTATTCAGCAAAAAGTGGTTTATAATTTACATTAAAAGTTAACGTTACATGGTTACATTTCACATACTGTACTTTTTACAAACAATTTTTAAATCATATATTCATGTCATATCTAATTGTTTAGTAACCAGTCAACTGTAATACAATGCAATCATATTTCATTAAAAACACAATATGACAATTGTTGCATTTGATGTAAGATCCCGGGGAAATGATCTTGAAGTATTTTAACTTTATTATAATACAATTGCTCATTTTGTAAAATAATACATGTGTGTTTCATGCGAGGTTTTGTGTACACACAATGAGCTTTCCAATGCGACGTTAAAACTGATATGCATAAATGCACATGATATGCATGTATAAATATGGTTGTATGGTATTAATTTATCAATATTGATCAATGATAAGAAAAATGATTCCATAATTTTGCAAGCTTAAAATAAAATTTACAGTGATAGTACGTATCTACATGTATGTTGATGATTCTTTACATTCAACACAAGCTTAAATCGACACAATTGCCTTCCTCGTAGACGTTGACCTTCCTTCACATTCCAAACCTAACATAATACATAATAATATATTTGGTTTATTTACGATTGTTCGGTTTTCGATTAACCACATCTGCGACGACCCTGACGACCTACTATTTGTGATGGTTTTAAGGGGCAGTGCATGGATAAAATGTTTGCCTATTTCTCTGGTATGGTCCTGTTCTTACAACATGCATCTGAAAGACCATTTGATTACTTACAGTTTATTACATAGAGTGCATGGTATTATAAGATGTATATATATATATATATATATATATATATATATAATATATATATATATATATATATATATATATATATATATATATATATATATATATTATATATATATTATATATATATATATATATATATATATATATATATAACTTCATAGGTTAAATACTTGGTTATACTGAGATCATATTTTATGAACATTTCCAATTTCAATTTAAAGTTATTGAACGAACTAAGACTGTTTATAATTTATAACTTTACATATTCAAGTAGGTATCTGTCATTTCCGTCTCTGTTATAAGTCCATATTTGATATATAGAATGAGATTGGTGTTAACATGAAACATTACGTAGACGAAATATTTGATAGTTATCAATATACACTGGCGCTCACTTTATTTTAACAGTGTGTATAAGATGAATGGAAAAAACTAATTAATTAATATCCTGAATAATTCAGCTGTTGATCTTCTTAATATCTGTAATTAGGGAGTATGAGTACAGACAGTATCTGTGGCTATTACACTTCGAGCAATAAAGAACAATCCGAAGACTGGACAGGAAAGAACAAACAATCTCCTGAAATGGTGTGTATTGTTCTTTATTGTTGCTAAGTTCTTAACAAGACAGGCATAGATCTACTTTCTAACATCAAAGTACAGAAATAGAGAATGTTCAGTTTTCTGTCACATAGTGAATAGATATATACATGTATTTATATTTCTTTTACATTATTCTTTTAAAATTTGACAGTTAAAACTGTCAAAAATACACTTTTTAACCTCAAATGTACCTCAGAAGTTTTGGGAAATAGAACTGCTGATCTAAATTATGTAATCTATGACATGATTCTTTTTATCTTAGCGTAACGGGGGATATTATCCTGAAACACTTTTATTTTTGAATTTTTTTTTTTGAAAGTGGTCGTCCTTTACATTCGAGCGTTTACACTGCATGCGGTGTTCTTTTAATACATAGTTAACGGTATCAGAATATTTGATGTACCACCGGTATTCTTTTTCAGTTTGAAGCACAAACATACATTGATCCTATTCGTTTAACACCGTCATCTGAAAGTACAAACAATGAGGACAGGACAATTCAAGAACAAAAATCAAGTATTCCCAATATTTATGTATTTACAATTTGTATGATTTTAAAGTTTTCAAAAAAATACGATGCATAAGTTTGTTTTGTTTTTGTTGTTGTTGTTGTTGTTGTTGATAGTGTTTTTGTATTAAGATTTACCCTTGCCCGTCCGTCGTTCCTTCCTTAAGTCAATCTGTTCTCATGTGTCGCACGTCCCTCAAAAAGAATTTGACCAAGAGTCATGAAACTTCACAGGAATGTTTATCAGCATGTGAAGTTGTGCACCTGGGCATTATCGTGTGGATTTATACAGTACCGGTAGAGTTATTGCCCTTGACGTAGTAAATTACTGCCATTTTCAACTTGTGTCATACGTAGCTAAAAATTATTTGACATAAAGTTATGAAATTTTGCAGGATTGTTACTCAACATATAAAGCTGTGCACCTAGGGTTTCGCTTGTGGATTTATTCTATTTTCCCAGAGTTAGTAAGAATTTCAATTTTCAACTCGTGTCGCACAAAGCTCATAAAGATATTTGACCAAGAGTAATGAGACTTTCCAGGAATGTTGCTTAGTATGTGAAGTTGTGAACCTGGGGTTTCGCTTGTGAAATTATTCTGTTTTGTTAAAGTTATAGCCCTTGCTACTGTAACAATTTAAAATGTTTAACATGTGTCGCACATAGCTCAAAAAGTAATTAACCCAGTGTTATTTTGTTTTGTTAAAGTTATTGCTCTCGTGTGTAGCTCTGAAAGTATCTGACCTAAAGTCATGAAATTTTACAGAAATCTTGTGATTGGCATGTGTAGTTATACACCTGGGGGTTGATTGTGAATTTATTCAATATTTGAAGAGTAATTGTCATTTGCTTAAAAAAGAAATCGTAACATTATGTTGTGTTAAGTGTTCCTTGAGTGCTTGAGTTAAATTCTTCCAACTTAACAGGAATAATGATCAACATCACTGTTAAGCTTAGCACCTGGAGTTTTGCTTGTGGATTTTTTAATTTTAGAGTTATTGCCGTTGACCTAGAATGAATTTGCAATTTTCAACTTGTTCATGCCTAGCTCAAAAAAGTATTTTACTTGTACGCCTGAAAGTTTACAAGAATGTTGCTCAGCATGTGTACTTATGCACCTTGAGGTTTTCTTGTGAATTTAATTAATATTTGTGAAGTTCTTGTCCTTGACTAAGTAAAATATTATTAGTTCCAACTTGTGTCACATGTTGCAAAAAAATAATTGACTTAGAGTCATAAGATTGACAAAACAGAGCAGTATTTCCCTTGTGTCCTATGGACACATTTTGGTTTTCTGCCTATAATACCATAATTATTGTTGGTTCTTAAGTAGAATTAGGATATCTGTTACAAAACTTATTAAGTTACATATAAAATATGATAAATTTGAATGTTTACAAATAAATAACCACATGTTTCTGTGATACATAAAAACAAATAAGTAACATATGTATATGATATAGAAATGTGTTTATATAAGTTTTCTAAAATGTTAATTTTCAAACAGGCGATGATGATGATAAACATATAAAGACACAAATATCCATAGGCGACTGTGTTAGACCATACAATAGTGACTTGTATGGAACAGTTGGACCCTTTGTCAGAATAAAGGAAACCGGAGAAATGTGTTTCGTTACTGTCAGGCATATTTTTGGTGGACTTCAACAATCGAACCATATGTTTATTGGTTCGAAGGTTGTTCATATTCAAAATATTAACAATAATGAGGAAATTGAGCGGGTATGTGGAATGGTAGTGGCTTGTGAGTACAGTGAAGACTATGATGCAGTTCTTGTAAAATTATCTCCAGATTATATACCAAACAGATACAGTTTTGCTGCCGTAAACGAAGAAATGTTTCAGAAAGAAGGTTATCTCCTTAAAATTTACTTCATTACATTAATGGTTAATGCAAAAGATTAATATTTTGGGGCCATTCTTACGTTATTAGCTTCAGAGCTCTATTAAGATAGTCAATAATCAATCATAAGTTCATTGTGCTACCAACATAATTCAGCAGCTGTTCTGTCAATGACTTTTCTTTATTATATGTTTTTTCTATAGAATGCTGCAAAAGAGTAATTGTTGTGAATATATGTATTCGGTTTGTTTTTAGGTTTAAGCGGTGCTCCAAAATATGCAAGTATACATTCAGTTATTGACGTCAGAAACGAATGCCTGAACGAAATGAGTGACAAGCTGTTAATCAAAATAGGGAATCAAACTGGGTGGACTAAGGGTACTCTTCTCATAACCGATGGGATAATAAATAAAGAACAAGCTGTCGTTCTATATGAACATCCAAATCAATGGATTATTCAGGCTGTTCTAACGGTGTTGCGTTTGCACAAGAGGGAGATAGCGGATCTTCAATATATTTGCTGGATAACAACGGTCAGCTTGATTGTTTAGGAATATTGTGCCGCAAAATGACTAACAAGGACGAATATCTGATTAAGCAGCTCGATGATATCTTAACATGTCTCGGAAAACAAATTGGAGGGACATTAGAGATGGATAAGTTCACAAAGGTAAGCATGATTTAAGTGGAAATGATGTTACAAAACAGTAACATAACATTTTCGGACGAAGTCCGTCTGTTATCAGTTTGACTTCCTGAAAAATTTACAGGGAAGGACTGAATGCAAAAAGAATATTCATTAATCATTTTGAAATTACAAACTGAAATCTGTTTATCTAATTAGTCATTCTTAAATTAAAATGTAAAGGATAGTTCTAACCATTCTAGAATTAATGTAAAGGATAGTTCATACAGTTCTAAAATGAAATTTTAAGGATAGTTCTAAATTAAAATGTAAGGGATAGTTTTTTCCACTGTTAAACAAAAGGATAGTTCTAATATAAAAATGTACGAAACTGAGGATAGTTCTCTAACTTTTTGGTTAATTTGTAAATGTTTACAAAATTTATAAAGTCAAACGTAAAATAAGTTAAAGATAAACCTAAAATAGAAGTTGTCCTTCTTTTAAAAAATAATCAATAAAAATATGCTATAATTTTATTTCAATGTTTACAAAATGAACATTTTCTTAGCTTCTAGAAATAATGACCATGCCATTGATATGCAAGCACTGCAAACATTTCTTTTTGTATTAACATAATTTTGCATGCTAATCAGTTTTACTTCGGCCGAGTATCTTTTTAAAGGTCTAACTTGCCCATGCGACCACGTGTATTAAGCAACTTTTGTCTTAAACGACCACTTTAAATTCCCCCCGATCAATTTCTCTCTATATCTTTAATGTATTAAGCGACTTTTGCTCAACGCAACCAGCAACCGCTAATTAGTAACCTAATTAAGATCAATTTTTTTCATTAAACGACCACTTTAACCTGTCAACTAATTGTGTTTTTAGAGAACGCCGCCTCGTAATGTCACAAGTTTCAACAATCAAAACACAGCAAATAAATGTGTGAAAAACTATATTTCCCAAACCGTTTTTAGCGTATGCAAATGAAGTTAAGTATACGCGTGACGTGTATTATCCAATAATATCGAATAAACAATGCAACGCTCCGCCCCTACTGAGATGGTGTATACGCTTCGCTTGTTGACATTTAGACTGCATTGAATTGACCTTGAACTTGATTAGCAATTAAATTAATCGTAACAATTAGATGTAGTTTGTTTATTTCAAATGAAAAAATAAACAACAGAAAACATCTTTACTAATGGGGTTTTTGTGTTGGAGACAAGGAAGAACAACGGAGAAGTTAAAAGATTCAGGAAAAAATGTAAAACATGTACGTACTAGATCAAAACTGTTTTGTCAAATATCAGAAAGTTTTGTTTTTTTTAAATTGGCATCCATATAGATTATCGGAGCATAAGAGAACGTTTCATTAAACGACCGATTTGCGTGTTTCCCTTGCGCGGTCGCTTAATACACGTTTGACTTCTTGTCGCCCCGTCTCATTTATTTCAATTCATTTTTGATTGTCAACTTCTTTTAAATATTCTGCGTAAGAACTATATTTTCTATATGTTTTTTGAAAGTGCATTGCATCTATGTATATTTCTTTTTTCTTTTATTCTTATTATGTATTATGAAAAAAATGAGAGCAAATAAAGTTCAAGAAGGGATTTTTGAAATGGGATCAGAGGTAATTGACCTGCATATTACAGACAATATTATATCGTATTCAAGTAGGAATACAGAAACCGTCAGAGTAGAAAAATAGATCAAATAGAAGACATGTATATGCATACACAACAGTAACATCGTGCTGAACGATCTTCTAGGATCAAAAATATAACATCTTTGATTAAATATGTGGGGGAACTTTTAACAATGAAATGCTCTTGATAAAACATATAAAAGGAGGAAGTCAGCAGATAGATCAATAAAGATCATTTCCTTCTGCTTAACTGAAATATGCATAAGTACATTTATGACTCAACAATCATAAATTTTTAATCATTTTTCTTCAGTTTCACTTTTATATAATTTTGTCTTTGCCGATACACACGATGATTAACAAGTGTCCGTTAATAAAGCTTGTGCCTATTTTGTTTTCTCTCCAATATTGATAATGTACACCTTCAAATTCACTTTAGATGTGTTGTGTTACGATTTTGCACGTTTTTGTTCGACGGGTCACAGTTACGCCATGGGATTGTTGAAATCTTAATGAACCGACCGTCGTAGCGGGCTTTGCGGTGCATGACGCTTAACATATCGTATCGTACGGATTGTTCCTTGGATATATCAAATATGGTTATTGGAAGGCGTCACCTTTGTAATACCATTGAAGACTGGTCAATGACTTATTTCACAACAACAGGTGTCATATTCTGTGTAGCTATAATAATGTTGCCGCGTACTTTACCAATTCAGTGACCTTTCGTCATTGATTTCAACACGTTAGTGCTAGGATTGAATACCGCTTAAGCCAGTGCTAGGCCAAGGGGGCGTGAAAGATGTTTCAAATTACATCATCTTTTATGAACAGACTCGAGTCTGCAGTTTTCAAATAATACAGTTGTTTTCATTGTTTGCGAGGGATCACCATTGTTCCAGATTTTCACAGAGTGAAAAAGCAGATGTACACTGAAATAATGGTCGGGAGAAAATGACATTCTAAACAGTCCTTGGTATGATTACATTGATCAGTAATTGATTTAATTACAATAACTTTCATATTTGATTGTAATTGATTATGATTGATTACTCAGACTTGCCTTTGAAACCAATTAGATTACAATTATTTTAACAGAGTAATTGATTGATAATTGATTACATTCAATGTATAATTGAAAAACAAAATTTAAACTGTGTTATGTGAAATAATGCCTCCTTTGAATTAAAATAGTTTCCATTTAAATCAGATAGTAATCAATGTCAAGCAAAGTGTAATCATTACTGACTGCATTTACGCTGTCATAGATTAAGTAAAATTGAAATAATCAATTTTTGGCAGGGTTATCAATTACAGTGTAATCATGCAATCGAGTAAAATCGATGATTGTGATTAACGATTACCCAAGGTCTGATTCTAACACAATGACAGATCTCAAAGCCCTTTACATAGATGCATGCAGTTTATGCAAGACGCACGATGCGTCAGTTGACCATTATTGGCATGATGTGCCAAAACATTAGATATTAACTCATTTGAAAACCTATGGAAATTGATTCGATTGCCGGGTCGGCAAAATACTACGAGCATAAGGCAACTGGAAATAGTATGGTACGGACTGGGAATGCAGGCCTGCATCATCAGTTATATGACGTTAATACGTTACTTATGCATCACACTCATCAAAAAACGACAGCAAAGATCAATAAGGCATGGCGATGTTCACAGAACGCTGCCCAAGACATTACCCAACCACACTGGAAGGGCACCCAGATGGGCACTAAGCAACAAGGGAGGACACAAGGTCTGGGATAGGAGGTGGAGAGACATGCTCATAACTATAAAAATGAACAATTAAACTGGAAAAATTATGCGTACTATGAAACAAAAAGGGCTAAAACCCATTTTGGAAAAAAGTATTTATTGTGATGTTTAATGTTTAATTATTTGATATGTTGTCCTCTTGTTATGTGTATTAAACAATGATGTATTGCATGATCTGTATGCTTGTTCTGTATTCTGAATATACGTGAACAATAAACTATTGCGTTGAAAAATTCTTAAAAGTGTATAAAGCTATATATCTGATGCAAAAATTATTGTTTTGATTTTAAAAATGAATACTTTTAAAATGTTTGGATGACATAAAATGGCAATAAATTGTCTTAAGGCGAGTGGCGCATGCACAAAGTCATTGCTAAACGGATAAACCCCTACTTGAAATAGCAAAATAATATTATGTTCCGGAACATTTATTCCGTTTACGTACATTATGCATGTGTATTAAATAACAAAGACATTACTTGTTACAACTTTTTCAGTAATCAACCATATAATAATGGAACCAATATAATTTTACTGTTGATACATTTTGTAAAAATATTTCATAAGATATAGATTTATGCCCTTTAAGTATGTATGGGAAAGAAATTTTGTAATACAACGTACGTTTGAATTTAAAAGAATATAAAGCTGTTTAAGACAGGTAGATTGATTGACATTAAAGGTTCACTCACAAATAATAAATTCCATTTAAATAAATATTCCAGATGACAAATGAAGTTGATCCTTATGACAAAGATGGGTTCAAGTATGACTCCCAAATGAGAATAAATATTATTGGTTTTTTTGCGCAAGGGAAATCAACCTTAACGAGGAGACTTTTAGGTCAATCTTTAGATAACATCACATGTACAGACGGCATAGAAGTATATGTGCAAAAATTAAAAATGCAAGGAAGTGCATGGACAACATGCGACACAATGGACATATATGAAGAATGCTCACGGCGAATGGTAGACATAACGAACAGGGAACATGTTTTCCCATTAGAATCAATTGGGGACGATTCCGTAGATGAAACTATCAATGAGCCAGAGGATGGTGAGAAACAAACATTTACACATGGTACAAACAAAACACAAACAAGCGCACACACGTATTCAAATACCGGGCCCGTGCACAAATTGGTTGACAAAAAGTTTTCACAAATTGCTAAAGATCAAGAGAAAGAATTACAAAGACGTTTTTTAAATCATTTAAGAGATGACAAAGATTGCAATGATCAAGACGTACTTTTAGCAAATATTTGGGATTTTGGAGGTCAGTTCATCTACTACGCTACTCATCAAATCTTCCATTCGAAAGACGCAATTTATCTGCTGGTGTTTGATCTGACAAAGGATCTTGACGCAATCATTATTGACTGCGACTTTCCAGATAGACAAGAGAAGATGAGAAACAGTTTATTGTTCTGGGTGAACTCAATACAGGCCTACGTTGGTTGTGATACCTCGAGAGAAAACGTGAAGCCAACGATAATATTGGTAGGAACACACAAAGATAAACTTCAAGGCGACGTCAGCTTAAAATTTCAGGAAGTTTTCGACCTTTTTGCCGGAACAAAATTTAGCATTCACATACATGAGAAACCATTTGCAGTGGCGAGTCTAGATAAAGATGACAAAGGAATACAAAATTTAAAGAGGACAATTTATGAGTTGGGCCTAAAAAATGCTAGGCATGCCAAGATACCGGCAAACTGGATTCCTCTCGAACTTGCAATGCTAAGAGTTAGAGATGAAAAAATGAAGCAAATTTTAGAAATGAAAGATATCATAGCTTTAGATACTCTTAATACTCATCCAATTTTAGACAAAAATGAAATCAAGAAATTCCTCAACTACCATCATGCAAAAGGTACATTTGTTTTCTTTGACGAGGAGGGCCTGGACAAGTATATTGTCCTCAACCCACAATTCATCATAGATGCATTTAGATGCATTATTTCTGCCAAATGGTTTTGCCGGTGGAGTCAAACTGTTCAGATAAATGCAACGAAGCTGAAGCGAGAGGCTATTCTTGAAAGAGATTTGTTAGATACTGTTTGGAGTGAGAACAGGTTTACTGCTTTTAAAGATATTTTGCTTCTGTTTTTAGAGAAACATCGGATACTTGCCGAATTAAGGCGAATGGATGAAAACACTGGCAATATCCAACTTCTTGGCAAATACATGATACCAAGTCTGCTCAACCCTGAGCTTGATCTGCATGAAACAAATGACTTCTTACAGAATAAAGAATACACAAGCATTGTTCTAGGACTAGAACTAGAAGGATTGATATCTACCACAGTCTTTGAAAAATGTACGGCAGCTTTGCTTGGCAAATGCCCCCCTATTGAATACAACGATCAAGTCCTTGTTTCTCAACATGAAGGACTTTATCGTCTTGATCTACAACACGCCAGGTTAATACAAAAGTCGGGTGAAAACATAGAGCTAATGGTTATAAACCTTTGTCCCCCCGAGCACCCAAAAAGTACAACGTGTGATCGTTTTCGACGATATGTAGAGATGGTTCTGACATTTGAGAAATGTAAAAGTCATTTACGCCAGGAAGATGTAAAGCCTTATCGACATTATATCAAATGTAATGATTCTCAGCATGCAGGCCGTGGAAGTCACAATATTCACTATCTTAATAAGATAAGAAATCAACCAAAAGTATGTTGTCCAGATAATAGAAGTCATCCAATATATGTACAGGAGGCTATTGCCGAATGGTTCCTAGAAGAAGGCATTACGGATTTTGAAACCAGTATTATACGAAAAACGTCGAAAAAAGACAAATTGGTTTCGAGAGTAGCACGAGAGTTCGGAATTAATTGGAAAATGTTTGGAATCGCTATAGGTCTATCATTTGAAGATTTAAAGTTAATCAGTGACAAATGTGATCAAGTAAAAGAGACAAATATTCTGATAATTTCGATGTTCGATGTATGGAGAAAGAAATATCCGGATGATTCCGACTACATGCATGGGAGAGAAAACCAAATAGAAGAGAACACCGATGTTATTGTAGACTGGGACAAAGTGCGAAATTGCTTTGACTCTAATTAGGGTTGTTTGCCAGATAAACAGGTGAGTAGATACGTTCAAAGAAATTTGACTATTATTATTCAAATTTTACATCAGTCGTAACTTTTTAATTGATTTACATCATACACATTGAACAAGTTTTTTTCATCTGAAAAACTTTCTCAGACATGCCGAAACAAATATCAGTATCTTACAATGCATTGATACAGATATTGATATTGTTTAGTTTAAATCTTACTAACGCAAATACCGCTTAGAATGGGGCTTGAGAGATGTCGCACGTTTTCGCTTTCTCTTGTGACTTATTCAAACCCAATCAACAATTGTCATGTATATATTTATTTATTAATTTATTTTGTGGAGGGATTCCCCGTCCAGATTGATTTCCTAGTTATCATTATCATTATCATTTAGAGAAATGTTTCCTTGCTTTTTTATTAAAATAAGTATTGAGTTATTATTGAGTAATTACAATGAAATATTTTCTATTTCAGCGGCTCATCACGTGCGAGGCTGATAAGTCCTTAGGAAGCATTCTGCCTATCATTGATATTAAGTAACTTTACAATTCAAAGAAATGACCATTTTCATTTGTTTATGTCTTTTTCCTTAAACGCGTTTGATTGTATTATTTTTTTTGCAAGCAAAAATCAGTAAAATATTTTAATGCCCAGTATGAGTGTCTCACGGTTAAGATTATTTTTAATAAAAGGTTTATGGAAAGGGGCACTTATAAGGTGAAAAATATAAAACAAAACAATTATTATATACGCATTATATTATGTCGTTATTTTACATTGTTGGTTACAATACTGAATTCTAATTAGCACCTCGTCCAGTAATAAGTTTGACGGCTGTGTACAGGTCAAATAGAATCAGTATTGTGTTTATTAACAATCTGTAATGATATTTCATTACCGTGCTACAATTTGTAGCACAGAACGTTGTCACTTTTAGTTCAATGAGCTTTGATATGGATTGTTTGAACTCGGATAATTAAAACGAGACTAGACGGAGTACAATAGTGATTTGATATGAGTGTTTAAACTTGGAAAATGATAACGAGTCTAGACGGAGTACAATAGTGATTTGATATGAGTGTTAAATGTAAATGTATGAATTTTGTAAATATGTAACGGTGATGTACTTTAGGAAAACTTTAATGAAATATGTTCTGTTCTGTTCCTAACGAAATTAAAAACAAACATTGACAGAGAGTGATTTTTTTCAATATCAATTTAGCTTTCTTCACCTCTAAGATGGAGTTATATAGTTTATTTGCATTATGGAAAACAATTTAAATGTTCACGTATTTGTCTGATGTAAGTTTATTAAACATATACATATATTACGATATACTCTGTTTTGTTTATATCATACTACAGAATAACCATTAAATTTTCATTATTTTCTTTTTTATGTAAGGCATACCTCAGTGTTAGATTTGGAACGTTCGAATTATACAAAAAATATTGCATTATTTATAGAGATATAAAGATTAAAAGATATTTATATCACAAATTGGCATTCTAGTGTACATATTTGTTCTTCTTTGTATTTGTATAAACATATCAAAACCGTTTTTAGCAGGTCTAAATACCTGGATATTGTTGACTCTATGAAATTAAGAAATATATTAGCTAAACTTAGATTATCATCTCACAATTTATTAATAGAAACAGGTAGACACAATAATATTGATAGAAATGACCGGAAATGTACTATTTGCAACAATAATGACATCGAAGATGAATATCACTTTGTATTGATTTGTACTTTTTATGATTCTCTTAAGAAACAGTATATATCCAACTATTTTACAAGAATCTCTAGCATGTTTAAATTTTTAGAATTGCTGAATTCAGAAAGGAAGTCAGTGTTAACAAAATTAGCTATATATTGTAATAAAGCTTTTAAATTGAGATTTGATTCATTGAATGCCGGATAATGCTATATAAGACCACCTTGTTGTATTGTTTAAAGTTATATAAGGATTGTAAATATTACATGTGTTGTATTAATTACACTCTCACTAGTTTATTTCATTTATTGATATGCGTTTACCATTTTTCATATTCATGCATGTATATATTTGTTGTATATGAAGATGAGCTGTGTATGCTTAATTCAAAATAAAATATATGTTCTGTTCTGTTCTATAGAAGTATCGCTTTGTTTTGTATGCGTATTTACATAGTTTACAGTTTGCCACTATTGTGATAATTATTGTATTAATAAACAGTGATACATATATTGTAATAAACATAGACAATGGTCTATCTGATTAATATAACCAAATTATATAATGTTAAAGCTATAGGAACAAGTATCTGAATTTAGCGTTTAGTTCTTTACACGATATTGTATTTACCTTGTAAATTTATGTAACTTTAAATCTTTATGTCTCCAGATTACGGAAACGTATAGCGACCATCCCTATATGATATATATCAAATGACATTTTTTTTTAAGTTTTATAGTATGTTTGTTATATGTAAATATGATTTGAGGAAAGAAATACATATTTAAAAAGATGTAAGTGTATTATTTTTTCATTTTGTCAGAAAGTTAAAAGTAGTTTATCTTGCATTATAAGATAAAAAACGTACGATAGATTACGAAAAAATACGTATTATATATGATTTACAACATAACTTGATTTAATTGCTTCCTTTATATATTGCGTGGGATTTTTCTGTCCTCATTATCAAATATAAACTGTAAAATATGTTATATTATAATAAAAAAAACTCAAATATATATAACTAATACATATAAATGAACAGAAAAAAACTCACATAAATTTTAATCGAGCAATATTAACAGCAGATTGAGTAAAAATATATATTCAATATCAAATAACAATTAAAATATTGGTAAAATATATATCATGTGTTAAATAAATTGTCTAAAATTCTGTTTTACTAACATTCAGAGGCGGAAGATATTACTAGATCAAGTAAGTTTATAAAAATTGGTTAGGTATATAATATGTATTAAATAAATTGTCAAAAATTCTGTTACATATAGGGGTGGTCGCTATACGTTTCCGTACCAGATAAACCAAAATATTTGAAGAAAGTCAACAACAAAAATGTACAAATATTCATGATTTACACATGATTTAAGAAATAATCTACAATTTATATCTAGTTAATGACTGATTTTGTAGAATTAAACACCATATTTCTACTGCATAAGTAACGCTGTAACGGCTATTTTTGCACGTTCTGACCTATTTTTTGGTATTTTTAGCAGATTTGTGTAAGTTCTTTTCATTGTACACTTCACAATATTTTACTTTCTAATCCTTTAAAAAAAATCATAAACATTAACACGAATATAAAGGCATGCTGCTTTAAAACGAAAAGATTTACTTAGATTCATTCTTATTGAGACTATAATCCTCTCTCACCCTCTTTCTTCTCTTTCCCACTATTTTGTTTTCTTCTTTTATATATGTTCTTACATTTTAGACATCTACTTGTAGTTAATCTATTCTATATAAGTTTAAATATAAATAAATATTTTTATGTGTGTATAATTAATACTTATTCCCTTGTCTAGTATATACTAACTATAAACTTATTTAAGACAAACCATATAGTTCGCCAAAGGAGAAGAATTCTATAAGACTTGTCTTTCATTCTCATCCTTTTCCATTGTGTAAAAATGTTTTGTTTGTTATATATTTGTATGTACATTATATATACTTTCGGGAATAAATATGTTTTAACTAAAACGTTTTTTTACAGCAATAATATCCTCTTCACTTTATTGTAAACAAGTTGTCAGTTGAAAATCAGTTGTTTACTTTTTGCAATAACTATACATTGTATTTTATGTAGTTACATAATATAGAATTATGTGTGACCTCAAGTTTTTTTATTGTTTTGGTGCAGGTGTATTAATATATTTTGTGTGATCTTTATATTTTCTATTCAAGCTTGAATGTAATTGACTGTTCGAAAGTAAATATTTTTGTTTTCTGTAATGTCGTAGAATATATTGATAAAAATTAGAGTCTAGTGGTGTAAATTATGTAATTATATTTTCTTCCGATGAGATGGTTCCTTTATCCAAATTCTTTGGTACATTTTATTTATGTAATCGGTACCAACATGTCATTAAATACTATCCTGTTAAGTCAGCGAACCATCTTTACACTGTGTAAATGATTCATTCCATCATTTCAGTTACTAAGTAGATTAGTATTTGTTAAGTTAGCATTAATTCCATTAAATATGAAGCACAGCTGTGCCGCGTATGAGATTTAATTGCATTAACCCTTAAAGTGCTAGAACCAAAAGTGTTAAGCCTTTGCCACCAGTATAGAGCCAGGCCAGCCTGCACACCCGTGCAGTCTGACCAGGCTCTATACTGATGGCTGTCAAACTTTAAATATTCAAGTTGATATCCCTAAAATTGATAATGGACAGTCCCAAAAATGGAAGTGGGACAAGTCCATTTAAAATATTTATTTTATTTAGCATGTTAAAGGGAGACACAGGCAAAATTTTCATTTCTTAGTTTTGAAATTTTCATTCATTATTCTGTAAATGTCCTCAAAATGAATACACTAAACAGTCAAAGGAACAAAACTTTTCTCCATATAAAGAATAAAATGGTGTTTTCCTAACTTGACCCGCGTGGGTCAGTTTAGAGCGCTAAAATTTCACAATAGTTGTCACTATGTACTCAGGAAACGTTAAAAAGCATGTCAAATCAATTACTTAGGCTTGTTTCAATCATACAATATCCACAATATTTGTTATTGTAGCTTCCAGGGTTTGTTCAAATCGCATGACTTGTTTTTAAACTATTCGGTGATTCCGTTCTCGTCAAAATTTCGTTCAACATATATAGATATATTCAAACTTCAAACCCAAAATATATAGAATTTATACAGAAATTCATGTTGGGACTTTAAGAAATGTCATTTTAAGGTGATTTGAGTACAGAATATCATTTTTATATTTTTGCCATTATTTTGCCTGAGTATCCCTTTAAGGGTTAATGCGTACTTACAAACACTTAGCTATACCAAATGTTAAATATAGTTACTTTTTCAATTTAATCGTTTAACTGAAAATGTGCTTTGTGCTGTTTAAACATGTAAAACAGTTTTTTAAAGTGTCTATAGTAATCTTATATTCATTCAAAAACAATTTAGATGACGCATCTATGTTTACTATATCATTAATAACGTTAGAAATAAAAAAGATAATTTAACATATAAAAATTAGAAACACTGTTGATATCTTAATCAATAGTTGTAGCCCTATAAATCAAGATTGCAAAGTTATGTCTTGATAATGGCATACTACGCTCAAATTTGATATTACTACACGGTATCTTTGTAAATATGAATTAAATACGTTTTAACTTTACACAAAGTAGATATGTTATGCTTTAAAGCTCCATGCCTCCAGATGAGTCAAAATATTTCAATAAAATCAAACTTGAGAAAAATGCACTAAGATGTAAGGAAAAGTAAAAAGTTTCAAGATTCAAGTAATAATTTACATAGTTTGTGCGACTAATTACTGATTTTTCAGTATTAAAAAAAATTATCGCCCTATTACATTATTAAGCTGCATAGGTAAACTTTTTACATCAGTGCTAAATAACAGAATAAACTTGTTTTTGGAGGCAAACAATTTATTAAATGAAAACCAAGCAGGTTTTAGGAAGAACTATTCAACTTTAGACCATATATTTACTATAAATTCTATTATTGAAATTTTGAGAAAAAAGGGAAAGAAATTGTTTTGTATTTTTGTCGATTTTTCTAAGGCCTTCGACTCCATATGGAGAGTAGGGTTATGGCAAAAATTACTAAATACTAATATCAATGGTAAATTTATGAGGCTAGTGTTGAACATGTATAATAACATTAAGTCTTGTGTTTCTAAAAATAATGAAAATTCTGCCTTTTTCGACTGTAATTGCGGGGTACGTCAAGGGGAAAATTTATCCCCTGTACTTTTTTCACTCTTTCTGAATGACTTAGAGAAATATCTTGAAGATAGAAACAATACAGGAATTATATTTTCTACCCAAAGTCAAAATGATGAACTCATGAATTTCCTGAAAATTATAGTTCTTCTTTACGCTGACGACACGGTTTTGATATCGGAAGACCCGAAAAAACTTCAAAAATGTCTGAATGATTTTGTCACGTATTGTAATACTTGGAATCTTAATATTAATGCAAGTAAAACTAAAGTATTAATCTTTGGCTCAAGGTCTGATAGAAATTTCTCTTTTAAAATTGGGGAGATGTCTTTAGAAATTGTTAGCTCATATAAATATTTAGGGACATTGTTTTCAAAATCAGGCAGTTTCTTAAATAACAGAAAACATTTAGCACAGCAAGCAAAAAAAGGCTATGCACTTATTGTATAAAAGAATTCATAACCTAAATTTGCCTATAGACCTTATATTTAAATTATTTGATCATACTGTACTGCCAATTTTAACATATGCATCTGAAATTTGGGGCTATGAAGACCTAAAAATCCTGGAGAGAATACATTGTGAGTTCCTTAGGAAAGTCTTACATCTTAGAACAAGTACACCCCTGTATATGCTATATGCAGAATCTGGCAGATACCCAATTAATATTACAATTAAATGCAGGATGATTGGTTTCTGGAACAGATTAATATTAGGAAACAGAAATAAAATTGCATACAAAATATATCAATATATGATTAATTGCCAAGATTTTGAATTTAAATGGCTCAGCTACATTAAAAGTATACTTTCAAATACTGGTAGGAATGACTTATGGCTAAATCAGACAAATATTCAGAGCAAAACGATCAAATGTGTTATTAATGTTGTCATGTGATTGTAAATTTGTATCATATATTATTTGTTATAACGAAAAACTTGTAAAAGTTTAAGTTAATAAAGTATCTATCTATCTATCTATCTGTGTTATTAAACAGGTACTTTTAGATCAGAATTATCAAATGTGGCATGAAACTCTACAAAATTCAAGCAAAGGGAGAAATTATTCTATATATAAAGAAAATATATGCCTTGAAAATTATTTATTGACTCTTGATAAGGGAGATTTTATAAATATGATTAAATTTAGAACAGGAAACCATTTTTTCCCGATAGAAATCGGCAGATGGGAAGGTACAGATATTTCTGAGAGAAAATGTTCTCTTTGTAGTTTAAATGACATAGGAGATGAACTCCATTATCTGTTGAAATGCACCTTTTTTAATGACCACAGAAAAAAATATATTAACAGATATTATTATAGGAATCCAAACATTATAAAATTTAAAATGTTATTAACGAATTCAAGTCCTATGCAATTACAAAAACTTTGTAAATTCATTAAAATACTATTTGAAACAATACGGAGGTAATGTTTGTAACAAATCATGCAATATAATGTTTGTCAGGGATAAAAATGCTTATTTATATTTTTCGAAATTCTGTCCATTGCCATTATCTGTTCATATTAAGACTTCATGTTTGCTTCACGCTGACTATTGTTGTCATCTTTAATATGCTATATTAATGCCATAACATGCAAACTGTATAATAACGCAATATATACTAGTAACCCGATTCTACATTGCAAATCAAATTAATGTTCCAAACCACTTCCCTACCTGCCTAAATATGGCATAAGTCTAAAAACGCAACACAAATTAATAAATTAATATCATAAGAAAAAGGGTTAAACAATTAGTTTTGCGCAAAATACCTTTTTTTCTGTTGACAGGTACGCACATTAATCCGTGCTTGTTTTTGTTTGAACTAGTAAATAAAGACATACTTTCTAGAAGCGCGACACACTTTAACTCACGATTCGCACGATCTTATTCAAGGTCAACAAATTTGAACCAATCAGATATAACTGAAATAGACACGAATGTCAATACTCCTACAACTGTCTAAAGTCTGTTTTAAGATTAATACCATTTCACACCTGTATAAATATAC